GAAACGCGGGGGCGGGCGCGGCCCTCGCAGGACCCGGCGCCGCTCAACGCGCTCTCCTGGACCTGGCCGGATTCGCAGCCCTAACGGTGGGTGTCCTCCATGTCCTCCATGGCGTCAACACGTGCCCGCAGAAGAGCCGATGGACTGATTACGACTACCCGAACGACTTTTTCTTTTATTCCTCTTCTATTTCTTCTTCTTCGATTTTACTTTCACGAGGGGTTAACATTTGCGATTGATAAATCACCTCACATTCTCAACATCTGCTCAATACTGTTGCAGTGGTGTTAACTAGATACGATTATTCTACCACTCCAGCAAAACAGATCGGCTCATAAATTACCCGCCAGAGGTAGATAGGTACATACAAATAAAGCAAATAAAATAACACCAACACGCATTTACATAACCAATATAACAAAAAACACAAACCATCAAATAAGGATACAAGTAAGATATAAGTAGAAGCACGAAAAGACTTCATATCGTTCTTATTTTATTTCGCTATTTTAAATACAGTTGTACAAAATTACTTTTAAAAGAGCTTTAAGAGCTTCTATTAAATTTGTAAATCAATTTCAAAAACAAGACATTCTATTAACGAAAAAATAACACATTTTAAAAAGACATATATACAGGTGCGCAAGAACTCGAGCCCCAGAGAAAAATTTCAAGTAAGGTAAGATATCGGGAACATGAAAAAAATGTTTAAAAAATTCTATCTGTCTAAAAATTTTGACATTTGACATTTTTTTATATCTATTTAAGGATACTGATGATTTTGTATATGTTTTTTTACAATTATTTAGTAAAGAGACAAACATTTTGCCAATAAAAGCGACAAATAACATTGAACAGAGTTACAATTTAAGATACAGCTTCCTTGTTTCCTCTTCCAATAGTATGTAACAAAAAAATTGGAAAATTATTTTTGCAACAGAAATAAATAGAGTCAAAGTCCAAAATTTAAACTCTCATAACTTCAAAAATTTTATAGATAAAATTTTTTAAATATTTTTCCATGTTCCTGGTATCTTACCTTATATGGCATTTTTCTCTGGGGCGCGAGTTCTGGCGCACCTGTATACAGGGCGATTCAGATAAGATAATGAGCCTGACGATCTGGCGATGCTACCCAAAAAACAAATTTCATTTACGCCTTTGATCCAATTTAAATTAGGATTTGCAAGTTGAATCCAAGTTATCATCTTATGTCACTATTAGTGCCACTAAGTTCTCGCGGAATGATAGAGTAATTAGAAAAGTCTTTTCGATGTAAACCCAACACAAAATGTATGAAAGAATAAAACATTAAAGGTAGGCAGTTTATTTATAAATCAAAAATTGCTTGTCAAAGCACTGTCAGAGCAACATAAGATAACTTTGATTGCAAATGCAAATCGTAATTAAAATTAGATCAAGACGTAAATGAAATTTGTTTTTTGGGTTGCATCGCCAGAACGCCGGGCTCATTATCTTATCTGAATCACCCTGTATACATAATAGCTGTATGTTTGTGTAAAATTTTAAATAGTTTTAATGCGCATGTTTTGGTAATACCTTGTGACTAAACAAAAAATCCATTAACAACAGTAAGTAATTGGAAATCCTTTAACCAGTTATTAGAGGATGGTTTTTGTGACGACTACACTAGCAATTGTCTCTCGGAAATTATTTGCATTTGTAGACAATTATACAATTGTATAAAAATAATATGATACTTGAATTTGAAAATGAAGGTTGCTAAATTAATATTTTATATTCTTGCCAACGTGGCGCCAACAATCACAATCATTTACAGTCACTCAGTGGACGCATATAATTGTGTTTAAAAGTTTTAGCGATCTTGCATTTTTAAATCTATCTAGTTAAAGGCGGTTTATGCGAAATAAGAATAGAAAAATTTCAGTTCCTGAAAAGTTGAGAATTGAAATAAAATATCTCTTAGGTATTAAAATGTTTTAAAAAATGCTTATAAATGGTCAGATAAAATAATAAAAACATGTAAATAAAACCTCCCAGATAATACCTATGCTATAATCTAAGATGAGAGATGGTGAATCTCAAACTACATGCCATAAAAGATTTAATTTTTTTATTTTATTTTGACATACCTTATTTTATTATTTTTAATTAATCCTTTACGTTTTCTTTTCTAATTTGGTGTTGGCTGCTGTCGACAGCAACTTCCTCAAACGGTGCAATGCATTTAAAAGGCGAGGAATGTGATTCTGCTAAAACTGTCTGTTTAATTAATCAATGTTATGGCTTATGACTATAAAAAAAATCGTGTTAAGGAAACATGAAACATCAACCAGTTGAGTAAATTTACTTATTGAATTTTTAATCGAAAATTATGTATGGAAATTCATACTTCTCTACAAATTAGTTTGTAAATTAATTTAAAAGCTTCAAATTCTTAATATTCTTTTGAAATGGCATAATTTCAAAGTAGGATGACTAGACTACAATTACATTTGAATATTTTTTACTTGGTTTAAAACATATAATTAAGAACAGAGCGGCGTAACTACGATGGATGAAATAGATGAAATTTCTTTACTACGCACCATAAATTTTATACTGTTTCAAATGAATATTTTTTGTTTTGCAACTTGTGATATCTCACGTTTTATAATCATTTTCTTTCTTTACTTACATTTTATAGTTTATTTCTTCATAAATTTGAATATAACGTATTTTTATACTAAACCAAATAACCCGTAAAACATTTCGTAATTTATAAACACTTCAAGCACCAACTAGAATATTTTTAATATTTTTTGTTAACCCCTTGTTTTGTTATTTTTTGTTTTTTTATTTTTTTATTTTTATTTCAGTACAGTTGGTAATGATAGACCCCAGACAGAAATTGCCATGAATGCCAAGCAAGAAGATGCAAATGTTTCCGCCGAGAAGACACACTTGTAGATATTAAACTCAACTTATGTTACTCTTTTACACACAAGTTATATTATTTTTGTTAAAAAACATAAATAAAACTGTAAATACTCTTCACATGTTAAAGTTTTAAAGCCAATTAAAATGTTACTTAATTTAGTGTCAGTTTTGCTAAGTGTCATTAAAAATAAACTTTACTTCATGATCCAATGTTATTAGAATTTTAAGTAAGTATTTTTCCAATGATTGTAGCATTGCAAAATAAATTAATAATGATATTGGATCCAAAAGTTAAGTCTCACGCCAAACACAGAGATCACGATTGGCTGCTTTTACATTGCACCAAAAGCAACACAGATGATGATGTATTGTAAGATTAATTTCTAGAAACCGTTTGGGGCTGTAGTTGAAAACTAGGCTTATGTTCCAGGAGTATGCTAAACTGTGTTAATGCACTCGAACAACATCTGCCAGTAACAGAACAAGCTGGACTAGTGATAGCAGAGGAGAAAACGCAACAAGACTCATGTAAGAAAACCCACTAGTTTTCCTTCCCACTATCATATGCATTCCTGATGTCTATGTGTGTGTTGTGTATTGCAATTGGCATCTTATGTTGTATTATTTTGTACTTGGATGAAATTTGCGGTCATTTTTCTTTCATTTGGTGCCTTTTGTTTTATTTCCTAATTTGATTTTTTCTCTAATTTGATTGGTTGATTCTGTTCATATACGTCGACTTTAGAAGCGCACAACGAGAATCAGTTCAATGATAATTTTATAAGAAAAACTCCAAATTTAAGGATAATTATTGTAATTCATTGTTGTAGCATTCATTAGTTTGCTCTTTATTAATGCATGCTATTGGAGAGATGTGGTATAGTTATAATGTCTGGAGCATGAATTATTTTTACTATCCATTATTTTCTGTCTTTACCTTTTTTCCCCATTTACGGCATTAACAATTAATAACCAAGCTAATGGATTGTTAATAGATTATTTCGATTAGTTCCCAACCCATTTGAGAGACGAATGTATAAAACTACATATAATCCCAGAAGACATTCAGCCTATGCTACTGTGCCAGGTACTAGTCATAAACAAGCACATGTATTCAAACACTCTGTACAAAATGCACATTTTACACTTATAACAGATGTTAGTGCTTCAAACTTCACAAACCTAAAAACACAAACTTTCACAAGCTTAACGACACAGTACATTCTAAACAACTTGTTTTTATACTAAAAACCAAAATTATCAAACATGACTTTTTTTCTTAAATAGTAAATTAAAATAAAGCTGGTGGTTTATTATGCTTTAGTAGAAGAACGTCCCTAATATTTTGTTGAACGTGGATTTACAACCTACTAAAAAGTTTCCTAGCTTTAGTAAATCTAAATAAATTTCCTGAAATGTAAGTAAAATATTTTCACTTGTAACTGTTTAGATTAATTGAATCACACCTTTTCATCCAATTCCTTTTCCCAATTAGTAAGTTTTGCAGCATGCAATTTGCATGATTTATGTTCAGGTAAGATTACTGTTAAAAGGACTTAGTTTTAAAAAGCTTGATAACCATCAATTATGAAAATAACTTTATTTTAAAAAATATTTCATAAAACAGTCTGTTGAAATATTCTGGGTAATTAAGAGTAAGAGAAAAAAAATCCTATGGAACTATGTCCGGCTTTCTTAGGGAGTTATAACCATCCTCGTATATACTGGTATGAAAAAACTCACAGCGTGGATTGCTTTCTGGAATTAAGATCGGTGCATGGTTTAAAAAAACTCGTTTTTCTCGAAATCGGTGCGTCGTAGAGAAATAATGCCAGAGACATTTTGAAGGTAATTAACCAATAAATCCGAATATGTGAAAAAAGTTTAAAAAACTTTAAAAAACTTTTTTCAAAGTAAAATTTTACGCCTTAAATAGATTGACTATAGTGCCTCCGCCCCCTTAATTAGGGTTCACAATTTTTGATTTTACTAATAGGAACCACCTTTTTTTAAAATCGTCAACATTTGTCGGAACAACATATAACACCCAGCATCAATCTTTAATTGAGAAAATGTTTTCAACTTTACTATTGAACTGGAAATGAAGTTTTACTTTTTTTCTCTTTTACATAACATTTCTCCATTTGACGACTATCATGAAAAATTCTACTTACTTGGTTTGACACTTTACTTAATAAAAACTAGAAATAAGCATTTACTTAAAGATAAAAAAAAATCGAATCTGTATTATGAAGTGCATTTTTTTTTAAAACTCTTATTATATTATAAATCTTAAAGTTACTTATAATTCTACATATATTTTAAGTTTTTAATACAATATTGAATATTTTCTAAAAATACTAAGCACTTACTTTATTTAATTAATGTCAGTTCAGGAAAATCGTGTAGGTACCTATTATACAGAGCGATTCAGATAAGATAATGAGCCTGACGATCTGGAGATGCAACCCAAAAAACAAATTTCATTTACGCCTTTGATCCAATTTCAATTAGGATTTGCAAGTTGAATCTAAGTTATCATCTTGTGTCGCTCTGACATCAGTGCAGAAAACGATTATTAGTGCCATTCTGTTCTCGCGGAATCATAGAGAAATTAGAGAAGTCTTTTCGGTTTAAACCCAATACAAAATGTATGAAACAATGAAACATTAAAGGTAGGCAAACAGTTTTTTTTTATAAACCATAAATTGCTTGTCAAAGCACTATCAGAGCAACATAAGATAACTTGGATTGCAAATGCAAATCGTAATTAACATTAGATCAAAACGTAAATGAAATTTGTTTTTTGGGTTGCATCACCAGATCGTCAGGCTCATTATCTTATCTGAATCGCCCTGTATTATTCTCGATTGTTCTATTTATACAGAGTGTTTCACACAACTTTACGAGGCTTGCGCCTAATGCACCCAACACATTCAATTATTTAATTTTTGGAAACCCATGACAGTAGTTGTCAAACTAATCACTGTTTCATTAATAGTCATAAACTGCTGTTTTTCAGAAACAATTATCATTTGTTCTATCAAGAGACGGCATGAATATGATTCTAGTTTATCTATCTTAATCACAAACTAACTAAAAACATTGTAATTTTTGAAAGGGTGAACAAACTAGAGAAGATTATCTAATTTTTCAAAATTTGTAATCGAGTTCGTATCGGAATATGTATTATTGATTGCATCTTACAGGCGCAGCCCTCGTAAAATTATGTGAAACACCCTGTACATATTAATAAAAATTTATAACTTCAAATCCATTCTAAAATTATTATCAATATAATAGAGTATATGCATAATTTGTATACTTACTCGCATTTTAAACGAAATCATTTTATGCATCGGAGAGCATAAATGATATACTGATGTAATTATATTCGTTTTTCTTATTTATTTTAATTCTTCTTAAGGCGACAAGAATATTTTGCAACCTGTTATCCAACTTTTATCAGATACGGGAATTTATACTACTGTATGACTATGAGAAAAGAATGTTAAAATTCAGACCAGGAATTCATTTCAATTTCTCAGCATTCAAGTCTTATTTTTTACAATCAATGGTAAAATTTTGAAATATAATAAGAATTTTTTTAAAACTCAAGCATTTTCCCCGTTTGTCCACACCAAAATGCTACTACACGAATACACTGAACTTAAAGTTATTTTCATAAAAGTGTGAATAGTCTTAGCCGAATGAGGAAGCTTTGTGGAGAAAGTGTAGAAGGTGTTGTAGGTATCTAAGGTCAGGTTGTTATTGTTTAGCTGGGTCCGAGCACTCGTCCCGTGCGGGCGACGTGGGGTCTCGTCCGCCGCCGCCACTGCCTCCTCCGAGATTCCCGAACAGCGCTGTTTGACAATGGGAAAGTCTTAACATCGCCACGTTCAGTCTACTGCCGTTACCCGCGCCTCTCTTGGTGCTGGAGGACCACCTGGTGGAGATGATAGCTGAGCGGAGCAAGGCGTGCGTCTCGTATCTTCGGCACAGTTTCAAGCGCCCCCAGCGCCCCTGAAGACCGTGCGCGACAAACTCTCCACGGCCTTAAATCTGCTCAGTTCTCACCGAATGGACTTAGTGCTATCGTAACCTAAGGTGGCCCGAAGCTCGCCTAACGAGACTCTAATCACAACAAAGACTCATTGTTACATTGCCGAGCGACTCGACGCTCTAGTTAGGTCGTGACCCCTCTAACTTCGAAATGCTCACTTCTTGCTGCGTTCACGATATGTATTTGGTTGGTGATGGGAGTATGCTTCAGAATGACTCATTTTTCATCTTAGCATGCACCTACAACTTTCTGTCTGGCTACGTAGACTGTAGATTGTTATGTGTTCTGTGTTACGTAGTTTTGACTTTCATTACCTTCAACACCTTCAGTTCATTGTCCCATCGAAGACACCGGTACTCTTGTCCACCATTTTGTAGGTGCATCGACGCATGTACTAGTTACTTAAATATCTCATACACCGGGAGTGCGAATGTGTATTGATTTATTATATTGACAAGCACTAGCTCGCAATGCACCGTCGGATAAATTCAATTTTACATACATACTTACCTACTTCAGCCTTTAAACTCACCTCCGCCCTCGACAAACTAGCGTTTTTCATCATCACGGCACCAGTGAAGCGAGCCGACCCTCAGTTCCATTCATTTTAAAACTACCTTTCCTGTCTAAAGTTAGTAAACATCTTCTAAATAAAAACTCAATAATTTCACTAAAAATTTACTTTTGAAACAATAAAAATGCAACCTGTGGTACAGAACAAAAAAGATATTTCAAATAAATTATGAATTGCAGATTTTTTGACTACTTCATTTCTATATTTACGTTGTTAAAAAATGTTTTTAAAAAAAACTTCTGCTATTTTACTACCAATTTAAAAAAAAATGTAATATGTTCTGAAGTAGTACTCAAGTTCAAGGCTACAATTAAAATTTTAATTTTTCCAGACTAAAACTCTTAACTTAACTTAATTTAAAAGTTAAGTCATTAACATTCGAATAAAGGATATTGATATATTTTGGCGACCTATAATGGATGAAATTTTTTTTAGAGTAACAACTAAAAAGCCTAATAGATTAATTTTTCTGGCTTTTATTTAGTTTAATAGAAAGTATTTTTTAACACTTAAAAGTTTCAAAATTCAAAATCAACAATATAAATTCTAAAAAGTTTAGAAGTTTGTATAAATCATTAAATTATTAACTTTTAAATCTCTTATTGCATTTTGGAGCCATAAACTTGTTTCTAAAACGGGCATCATTTCATCATTAGAGGCCTTTGGGTTTATAACCAATTATAACAAACAGAATCACACGGTATCTATAACAATGGTCAAAACTCGATTGTTACATCAAATTTGACAGAAATATTAAATGCTGATTTGAGAGAAGCAAAACGCAATCCAAAATACACTAAACGTTTTATTTACTACGGGCATACAGGGATGATTCTTAAATACACCGACAAAATGTTATCCTTGGTAGTATCAAATGAGAACATGCTGGAAAAAATATTTAAAAAAATGCTTTGTTTAACCGTTCTCCAAATAAAATTTATTAAAGTTATTTTTGAGGTAAAGCGTACGCCACTGTGGTGTTCGTAAATAGTATTAGCATAGGTAGTAAAGACCATGGTATTAATTTGATCAAAATGTACTTGATCATTGCAACAATTCATAAACGCCGTAAGTGGCACGGATCAAGGGGGTTTTGCCCCTAAAAGATATAAACGTAAAAAGGTTACAGTTTGTCTCCATTTATCCTTGGGAAGCTGTGATAAAATTTTGTCGGTCTATTTAAGAATCAGCCTGTATAATTGTCGCTTATAGCCCTCAGGAAATTAAAAGCCCTCCTAACGTCGGATTTTAAACATTCCTTCGAGCCATAATCTCTTTATTATGCCCTTGGTACATAAATAACTATTACATAGTCTATTGCACTGTTGTAGATTAAAGTTTGTTATTACTCAAGCAATTGCAAAATTGGCTTGCATAGTTTTTAACTCTTCTTTATAGTTGAGTCCGTTTAGAAATGTCTTTTTTTGTATTGAGAAATATTTCAGCTAAAATTTTTACAAAACTCAATTACTATTTCTTTCATTTTTACTGTAATATTTTGTTTTGTATAAAACAAGAAAATTGATCGAAAGTTCTTATTATCTTTATAGTTGAGTCCGTTTAAAAATGTCTTTTTTTGTATTGAGAAATATTTCGACTAAAATTTTTACAAAACTGAATTATTATTTCTTTCATTTTTACTGTAATATTTTGTTTTGTATAAAACAAGA